CTTCAGTTTCTAGTGAAGTGTTAGCTGAGGCACATCCTTTTGCTGTTGTGGGGGACTGTAATACCTGCAGAGGTTTTGTGAGAGAGATGCCAAGCAGTGCTACAGTCTTCTCAGCATGTTCAGCATCAGGTTCCACATTTGGTTTACATCAAAACAAGGTCTGCCTGAATGGTGCATTTGTGATGAGCACTGCTCCTGTCAGCCTCTTCCAGCAAAGTGTGCTACAGCAGTCACAGCAAACAACTCCGCACAGAGAAACACTTCTTACCTTTCTCAAATCTCTAACTCTCTCTCTGCTGATGGTCACCCCCACCAGAATGCCCTTCTCCTCCTACACTGCTGCCACAGGCCTTGGCTGTCACCTGTGCCTGGCATGGGATGGGCATGCATATCTGCTCAGCAGATATATTGGTATATGTTGGTAAAGAGAGATAAAGAATAGCTCCACAGAGGCAGCCTTCAGTGTGCTATGTATGATTGGGGAATATTCACTCAGTATTAAAGGATACCATATCAAAACATAAGGGAGGTCTGCAGTAAGGATCAGGTAAGCCTGATAATGAAAAAGAAAGTATGTTTGGAGTGCTGGGTAACTAGATAATTAGAGGATATTTTATAAAAAGATTAGCGTAAATATCTGTGATTTGTCTTAAACTGACAATGAATATATTGTATATTACTTTCCTTTAGAAGCTATTGAAATCACAGGCTTTAGTAATTGATTTACCAGTATGGAGTGCTTTTTGTTATTCCATTAGTTTACCCTGTTGTGATTCTGGCTTTGGTCAGTCATTTACTTAGAAACTGGTCATTTAAAAAAATCAGAGGCTCAAATGTGCAATTAAATACATTTTCAAACACAGGCAAATGACAGATGCATACACTATCCTGTATACCAAAAGTCTACTTTAGTAAATTTTGTGTGCAATAGGCTCCCTGTAGTTAATCCAGGGTTTCTGTAGCACAGGCAATGGATTCCTGGCATCTGCCAGTGGCCAGAGCTTTTGGGCAAGTGGCAATTCCTGCCTGAGGAGAGCTGCCTGTTGTTTACAGGATCAGGTTTGGGTGTGAACAACTGCTAAAAACTTTTTATTTAAGCAAGGGGTTTTCTAAAGCTTCCTGCTACATTTGCCACAACTCAGATATTGCAAGCTGTGAACCAGATTGTGTCACTCTTATGTAGGTCAAATAGTACCTTGCCTACACAGCGGGGTTGTCTCTCAGAGTATAGCTCAAGGTAAATATAAAATGAGCTGTCTCGTCTGCACAGTGCAGGGTAAGGACACATCGAACACCCTCTCTGGCCCATGACCCAAACAGACCAAAAAAGTCCTGCTCACTCTGTTTCTCAGGGTAGGAATCTTACAGTGCTGTGTTCACAGCCTGCATTGTTCAGGTTCTTCTCCCATGTTTTTTCTTCCTTTTGCAGAGGATGCCTATGAATGCACATGGAAAAAGAATAAGTAAGAATTCCTGTTTGTGAAATGCTGGTTTTTGTCCAATTTAGCAAGGAATTCCTCCTTTTGTCATAAAAATTACTATTTTTCTACCTAAGCCATATTTATTACTTTTCATAGCTTAACTGAGTTCTGTAGTTAGAGTATCATTGTACAGTGGGAGGAAACTACATTTCTTAATCCAGGTATGATTATTCACTCTTCTGGTGCTTTAAGAAAGCCCTTATTGGCAAGGAAGTCAAACAGTCTGGTAGTCTTTAATAGTTGCTCTACACAAATGTAAATGGCATGGGGAAAAACAAGGAAAACCAGCTCCCATATTTTTCATTCTTTGATTGGAGCATGCATGGTAATTCTTAACAAAGAGGAGAAGAAATCTGCTTAAGAGAGGACGCAAAATTCTCTGTGTAGATAACCATTCCTTTCCGCAGTCCCTGGCACATGCCCTGCAAATGTCACTCACAAGCAACTGTACAACTTTATCTTCCAAAAACTTTTGTTCCATTTTGAGGTAACCAATTTATTACTCCATATTTTCATTTCACATTTATCTTCCTTAGTTTCATTAAGCTTTTGATTTTTTGAGATCTTCTTCACTTTAATTTTTAGTGACATTTTCATTACTGTATTAATTGCTCTTAAAACGCAGGATGAAGAAATACTTCCCTTGCCTGAAGAGCTCCTGCCCTGAAGGGTTTTACCTTAACAGATACCTCAAATGATGCTTACCTGAAGGTTTCCATGATGACAAGTCAGGGAGCAACACTCATATTTTGATTCTTACAATATAGATTTTTTTTTCTGCTTCTCCTCTGAGACTACAAAAGAAAAGTCTGTAATGACAGCAGCTCTCAAACAGAAGAGGAAGTCTTTTTCCTTATCTAGATGTCATACCACTTCATACTAATCTGTCACTACCAGATTCCTGCTGCCCCCTATGTCTCCAGGATTATAAGGTTTCATGATTAATAGGAAGAAAAGCAGTTTCTCCTCACCTCAGAGTATGGGAGTAAAACTACGCTCAGTGTAGAAGGTGCTTCTGAAACACGTTTTTTTTTGTCTCCAAACTTACCAGGGCTGTTACACAAGAAAAGAGACAGGTGGGGTTTTACTACAGACATGTATTGTTTGCATTTCAAGGGGATGTATTACGCCTAAACTGAGAGGGTCACAAAGTGACAGGTTGACATCGAAACCGGTTCCTTACGAAAATTTGGTTTGTGCAGCAACCATCAGAGTCGCTGTCTGCCCTCTGCCTGTAGCTTTGAATCTACTGTTCAGGTTGAGTTAAATTTGAACCTAAGCTTATAAAAGCTTAATGAAAACAGGCAGCAGAGGATATCTGTGTTTTCCCAGCTAGGGAGAGGAGCCCTGCCTCTATCATGTATTAGGGAATCCCCGTGGGGAAAAGCTTCAGAAACAAGAAAAGCTTTGATCAGTTCTTTGAGAAGCCAGCTGCAAGACGCAACACCTTGGGAAGGCAGCGTTCATTACTGCGCTGTACCCACATCTCTGGGTGGCTCCATTGCAGCCCGCGCTCTGAGCCTGCTCCCTGCGGGCGGCGGAGCGGCCGCGCCCCAGCCCGGCATTCCCGCGGGAGCGGCTCCGGGAGCGCCAGGCCCTGCGCTCCCCGTGCGCTCCTGCTCCTGGGGAGAGGCTGGCGCTAAGGCGTGCCTAATGCTTCGCTTGGCACTCCGGCTAGCTGGTGATCTGTGAAAGCGGCATTTAACAAAACCCATTAGTGCCCCTGGCTTCCTCCCTATCTCTACGTGAGGAACCACTTAGGCAGAAGGACAGTCTCTTAATTCTCGGGGAGGGGCCGCACTGCAGGCGCTCCTGTTGCGAGGAGAGTTGCTCATGCAGATGCAATCCTGGCAGCTTCTGGTGTGCATTGAGGACCCTTTCATCTTTACTTTTAATAGAATGGATAAAGTGGAATGGTAATAATGGACTGATAAATGAAAGGAAAACTGTAACCACATAATTATGTCAGAATCAACTAACAGCCATGAAAAGCCGATTAAACCACATTATGCAGATAGATGTAACAGAGTACTATTAGCAAGTCCTCTGCAATGGCATGCCTGGCAATTAAGAGAGCTGTATTGGCAGCACACAGTGAAAACAGTGCTAATGTATAGTTAAAAATATTTGGAGACAAATAGTGCCCAGACTATGGGGACAGCCTAGAGCTGAATACAGGAGCATCCTCGAAGATACCAGCACCCAGGGGAAAAATTAAGGAAGTTATTCCAAATAGATTTTTCAGCTAGGATGTTGGTCATATTTATATTTAGCATAAAAATTAATTTACTGGCTTATCCAGAAATGAAAGACTGCAGTGCAGTATGTCTGGTTTTTTCAATTCTCTGCAAATTTCAGGTTGTGCAGGCTAACAGATTAAAGAAGCTTGCAGAAATATTCTGATTTAGGTAGCAATAATATTAGGTCTTCTTCCTGTGGTTACTATTTGGCAAATATTTAGGAACGAGATACCTCAGTGTTGTGTATTCTTAGGGATGTGGTATTTCCAGGTCGGGGACATGAAGAATGTATCACCCATAGAATTTCCTTCTCACTGGAGTATTGTGTTCACCCATCACACAGGGAGTCAAGGTTCAGTTCTATCCTTTGCTTTCTCTCTGCCCACTCCTGCAGAGTGGTTCGCATCTGCAGTCAGGGAGAATTGCACTGGAACAAGCTCTGAGATATCATCAGTGCGGGGTTCAGAGTTCCCACAGGCTTTACAGAAAGACGCTTTTACCAGAAACTAGTCTGTGTAACTGTGGAGATCTCATCTAAGGGAATAACATCAGTGGGAATATTTTGGAGTGAAAGGGTAAGCATGCGGGAGAGTTCATACCACCCTTGTTTTCTTCATAATGCCAGGCATTCTTTGCAGAGAGTTTGCCTGCAAAAAAACAGCATGGATCCTTTAAATATTTATTGTACAAATGGTTTTCCAACAGATACATGCAGATTTTCTTCTTGCTTTGTTTTAGAAGATGGCTGAACTATTATTAAATACAGGTAATGAGAGGTCAATAGCATCCAGACCCACACCAGTCCTTTCTTGAGCTGTTCCAAAGCAAAGGAAGGGGAGAGAGTGAGCATGTGGTTACACTTTGATTACAAAAGCCACACAATACATTTAGCATGAAATTCTGTCAACAACTTAGCTACTAGGGGTGTAAAATTAATGAAATCTCTGCCAAGACAAGATTTATGATCCAGAAGACATGCCTTTACCTAAATGAGAAGCAGGATTGTGCCTGTTGAAGGCTAAAGAATTTAATTGTACTCTGCTGTCTGTATTTACTTGAACTATTTTTCCTCATAATTTATATGTGAGAATGTTGATGCTTGTTATGCTTACGAGTACTTTCTGTGAGAGAAAGGTATCATTATCTCCCTTTTAACATATGAAGAAACTGACACCCAGAAAGCTGGGGTACCCGAGGTGAGGTTTTTGTGTTCTTGCTGCATACTTCCACAGATCCATCAGCGAAAATATCACTAATGATCCAACTTTTAATTTCACAGATGAAGGAACTTGGCGTCATTGTATACAACTGTAGCTGCCTGGTCCTGGATTTACAAAGGATATTTGCCCTGTATAGCTCATTAAGGTATAAGAATAAAATACCTCCGAGTTGGTCTAAGAGACTCTATGGAGTGTACGATACTCAAAATAAACTGACACTTCAGCTGAACGAGACAAAATCAGAAGCTTTTGTGTCGGTAAGTTCTGAAATGAGTTCCAGGGGGTGGTGGGGGAGGATAGGGAAGAAATGTACTTAACCCACAAGATCTTTGAAAGACCTGGAAATTTGAAAAATCACAATTTTTATTTTTTGTTTAATTCTGGTTTCTATGATACGCAGTTTGTCAGGACTTTAGAATGCTGCAGGATTTCATTTGAGTATTATTCAATTTCCCTTTTTTTGCCATGTTCAACACTTTTCCAGTCATGTTCACAAAACAATACAGAGACCCTTCAATTTAAATCATTTTATTTATTCTAATAGATAGAATGTGAATTACTTGGGAGTAAATGAACAATTAATCAGACATAGAAAATAATACAGAATAAGCAGAGTTTGCATTTTTATCAATGTAATTTATAAGAATTCACCTATTGCAAAACATTTGTACTTCTGTACAAGATCATCTACTTCAGCTTTATTTTTAAATGACATTTTAAAACTTCTAAAATCCAAGCAGTGATCCCCATGGAAGCACTGTCTGTGCATATATTTTTAATGGAAAGAAACGGAATCCTCCATCTCATCAGTGATGTAGTGAAACTGGAAAAAAGTACCCAGTGAGATAGAGATGATGGAAGATGTGGAGTGTCATTCATTTTAGGGGTAATTACATGAGTGTAAACTGCCCCTTCAAAATCAGGAATATAGATAAAGTTGCTGAGAGTAATTTTCCATTCTCTCTAAAACAAGGGCAAAACCGCCATTGCTTTATAGCCACTTTTAAGTTGTACAGCCACTGGCATCAGACAGTGCAGATGAGTGGTTATACAGGGCAGGGTTCCCCTTCACCTGCTGGGCACCAGGCAATGTTCTGCTGTCCAGGATTTTTCCTACTCCTACAATCAGTGGACAGACAGAAAACTATTTTGGAGTGAAAATGTGGAAGTGCCTAGGACAGCCAGAATAAATAGTGGTTTGAAAAAATGGACACTTCCATTGATTCTGGAGAATCTTAAGGACTAGCTTAAATGAGAGACAGTTTTGGACAGTTTGCTAATGCACTGTGAAATGAAAACCTACTCCTTTCTAGGAAATCTGTACAAAATGGAGACATCCTGCTGAAAGTCGATCCTGGAGGGGAACACAGAATTGAAAGCTGGTTAAGGCCCAGATTAAGGAATCTGGGATCCTAGACAAAGGCAGGTGGAGAGAGACTCTACCTTTTTTTTCAGTTTGTAGAGTGTTCCCTTTCTCTGTGATTTTTTCCTTTCCTGTAGGCTTGGTATTTCACTTCAGAAAATAAAAGGAAGGACTCAGTGGTACTCAGGAGCTCAGATCACTGAAATCCAACTCCAAGAGATACCTAAATTTGTATCCACAGCCACTTGGGACTTGCCCCTCTTAAGTGCAGTCCTGGAGTTGCTTGGGGTTGACTTGGTGGACCAAATGTTAATGCTGTTGTGTGTTCCTGAGCTAATGATCAGAAGGAGTTTCCAGGAGCCAGGCAGTTCCCTTGCTGCCGTGGCCGTCCTGCCTGGGGCAGAGACAGGCTGCTGCCTCCCTGTGGGTTCGGGATAGCACACCCCTGAGCAGGGGCATGGAAAGGTGCTGTTCCCAGCCGGAATAAAGGCCTGTTCCTTGCAGGTGAAGAGGAGGAACAGGTGGGTGCTTGATCAGAACGGCAAGTGCTACACAACATGGAGACGAGTCCTAAGCCAGTCCATGGCTGTGGGGCAGGGATCAGCTGTGCCATGGAGTAACAAGTGGAACGCCAAAGCACAGTGCTACAGTGAGGGTTTTTGCTGAGACTTTTCTCCTAATTATCTTCAGGAGGTCTTTCACTTTCAGATATTTGTATTGAATACAACTGAATAAAACAAATGCATGACAATTTCATTCTCCAGCTGTTCTGTAACTTAAAAGTTCAAGAAAATAATAAAAGTGTTAAGAATAACATCTCAGAGCAATTACCTCCAAAAAGTGTCAGATAATTGAAATAATTCTATTTAATATTTTAACAATATTTAAATCATTTTACACTTTTTTCTTGAGCTGAAATTAATTTTTTGAAAACTTATTTCAATGTTTGTGCTATATAAATCAAGCGTAATACACAGTCATTGAATTTTTTTGTTATACTTGGGAATCATAGCTTAGTGTTGCTTAGCAACAAACTCATCTTCCAGGCTGGCTGAAAAAGTGTAAAAGGTTTTGGTTTTTTAGTGTTCAGGAATGGATCTAGAATATTGGTCTTGAAATCTTGCTACAGTTAATTTTCTAGTATTTTCTGTACTTAGTTCTAGTAAATCCTTAAGAACATCAGTCAGTAATAAGAAAACACTGTGACAGTCAGTGTACTGAAATTAAGGAAGACTAATAAAACCTCTGGGATCTTTTCCTAAAGGAAAGATGCCCATCTGGATGTCAGCTGCAACCCAAGCAAGTAACAAAGGTGAGAAGGTGATACAGTGGCAGGAAAACACGTGTTCCAGCTGGGTTAAAGTGCCTTCCACAACCTCTGTCCCAGGAATGAAGTCATTGCCTGCAAGCAGCTTGAAAGGGGGACTCTCTTTTCTCTCCCTGCTTGTGCAGCAGAATAAAAAGTCCTGGGCACATCTGCCACAGATGAGCAATTTCCACTGGCTTCACCTTGCCTTTGACAGCCCCAGAGGATTGCAGAAAAGCTGCAACCTGGGCTTGTACCAGCTCTGTACTGGGAAATTCATGCCTGAAGCTTTGTTTTAAAGATAAGTTTCTTGCAAAACTGCAGTGTCTCCCTGCAACTGACATAAAACACTTAATTCCTGCTCACAAGTGAAGGATCACGCTCATGTGGCAGGAACATATGAACACTTCATCTAATAGAAACCAGTTCTGGGGCTCTTTGGAGCAAAATTCTCTGAAATTTAACTTCAATTACAGCTTCTTTCATGCTAGTGGATGTTTTGAAGTCTGTGTATTTTGCATTTTACCGACAGTTACACCTAAATGGTGAGGCTTTTGAGGGCCAAGTAAGCAAGTAGCTTCCCTTTGTAGCTTTGAGTATTCTAGCAGGAGCAGGACAGATGAAGGTATTAGTTAATAATCTCTGCTAAAATAATGGATACTACTTCTCTTCTCTAGAAGACTGAGGGGGAGAGAAAATAAATAGTTTTTAATGCCATATTTGAACTTTTCCTTTCACAGAACTCACCTAAACTCTTCTGCCCCAAGGACAGAGTCCTGGATATCGAAGCTATCTACAGTGTTATTGACGATGCCAAACAGTTTGTGTACATTGCTGTCATGGACTACTTGCCCATTGTCATCAACACCAATGCTAAACGGTGAGTGTCCAGGTCCAGCTGGTTCCCACAATGCCAGCAGGGTCTGCTGGAGAAAATGAACCCACAGGAGGTTAGTTACTACTATGCACCAGTTTCTTGGGGCCCAATTCTGCTCTTATTGAAATCAGTGAGAGTCCTACCATTGACTTAAATGGGAGCAGAATTGGGACCTAAGAGGACATTTCCAGTTCTGGGTCCTAAGCTTTGGATCTGCCTGTTGAAGGAGATCAGAAATTGTCTAGTCTGACCATCTGCATGAGACTGGGACCCAGGAATATAAGTCTGCTTATACAATAATCCTATTTCTTGCACTATTATATTGACTATTCTGAGCCCACAACTACTGGCATATTATGAGTATCATGCAGATATTCAACATGACAGAGTGTGTGTGTGTGTGTGTGTGTTAAGAGAGAAATAATGTGTATACTTGTATACAGTGTGGGAAATGTCATTATCTTACTGGCATACACATATAAATGAAAATTCCCCGTTCAGAATAGATTACATTTGAATGATTTCACAGTTTGATTAGCTGAGAGGTGCTAAAACCAAACAAAACTACATAATGTTCGAACAGCCAGTTTGTATGGACCATTAAAAAGCATTCGTAGGCCCAACACTGGAGCCAGAGTGCATCAAAACCATCCAGCTCAGGAGGCAAGTATCCACTGGTCCCTCCTACTCTTGATAATGCTCACAATGAATATAGAACCTAGCAAAGTCTGCTGTTCCATCTTTGCATTTTATTTGAACACAGTTAAGCCAAACCAAGCATGTGGTTATGTACTCTTTTCTATTTAGAGCTGTTCTGTTCAAAATTTTAAAAAAATAATTATCATGTAACTGATACCAAGCATAAACTGTTTTAAGACTATGAGAGAGTTTTTCCAATAAACTCATTAGGTACAGCCTCCATCATAGGGAACCACAGTCTCATGTTATGTATCCCTCCTACTTCTCCTTTATCTTGGAAAGCATCTTAGTGTGTAGAACCATTACAGTGTTGTATGTTATCTCCTATACTCCTCCTTACTTTATTCTCATGGTGGAAGAATTCAGAAATCTACTGGATTAGGGACATGCAGGGAAGCACCTGTGTGAATTCTTCAACGTTTTTCCTTCATCATGGCTTTGTGTTTGAGGCACTGCCCCTGCATCGCTACCTTGCCAGCTCCCAGTTCATGCTTCTAAGTTATTTTCTGGCATGGTAGAGCTCAGGTTTCATTAGCCCAGATGTTTGATACTGCTGGAATGTAGAAAACATGCATTTTTCTTTGTTTAATTCTCCCTGCCCTGACCTGCTCCCACCAAATGTCAGGAATTCAAAGCTTACTGTCAATTGTGAGAATAGCACCGTGGAAGCCACCATCCCATTCCTGGCAGAATTTATGCACTCCTCATCACATAGCATCCTCCTTAAGCAGCCCATCTCACCTGCTGCTCCTGAAGGACACAGGCACCCTGCACAGCAGCTCTGTTTCCCAAGAAGTTACAGAAGGCATTCCGGTCCCCAGCCTGCCCTGGCCCGATGCTCAGGGGGTGAACAAGGGATGCCAGCCAGGGATGCGGTGTTCCAGTTCCCTGACCTGCAGGGAAATCCTCTGTGGCCGTGTCTGGGCTGGCCAGCAGCGCCCTCTGGCAGCGGCTCTCCAGCACGGGAGCGGCTCTCCCTAATGTTTTCAAGCTTTAAAAGTTCTCTGCAAATGTTGTCTTCTTTCTCCACAGGTACTGGCCGTATTTAGATGGGAAGATAAGAGAAGCATTAGTTTTACGAAGTATTAAAGTGCGACTTCTCATAAGTTTCTCAAGAGACACAGATCCCCTTACTTTCAACTTTGTTTCATCTCTGAAAGCTATTTGCACTGAAGTTCCAAGCTGTAGTTTGAAAGTTGTAAGTATAATTCATATTACTTTAAAATATAAGTTATTCCCCACCCCCCAAAAAAAATCAAGAAAATATAACGACTGAGAATTTTTTCTGTTATTATCAAAGTCTTTAAATTCAATTAAATATCAAGAAATGTAAAATATTGAACAAATAATTTACTCCTAGTACTAACAGAATTTGAAATTGAGACAGAAAAATACCTTGGCGCCAAAAGGCAGTCAGTGTGGTGGGCAGCCTGTGCAAAACACCTCGTGGTCTCTCACAGGGGAGCCAACAGAGCGAACTGTAGCCACTGGTCATGTTTATACTGTGAGATAAGAGTCAATCTGACAAAAATATGATTTAGTCTGCATTCACATAACCTTACTGTTAAGATGTGTAAGCATCTCCTTTATCTTCAGTCAAGTGAAAAGTACAAGAAAAAATAATGAAGATTTTACGTTAAATTCAGAATAAAAACTCAAAATTGTGGAGACAGAAACACCACTCTGGGGCCACATTAGACATGCAGTGCAGGAAAGTGAGAAATACCATACAACTGTATTAGAGAACAGAATGTATGGTAAGTGCTATTTCCAGTGTGACACACTTCACTTTCACGAAATGAAGCACACTGGAAATCAGCCACCTTGGATCTTTGCAGGGGAGGGGGTTGTGGGTTTATTTGACTTTGTTTTGGTTTTTTTTCAGGTAAAAGTTCTAAATAATCTGTTGAATTATTTTGATTTCCTAACTTGATAATCCCGTAAATTCTTCTGGCGGTTTGAAAATTGACAACAATTCTAAAAAGGAAGTACTATTTCTTATACACACAATAAGTGGTATTATGTGTATCTAGAAATAGGGATTTTTGTTATCCTGTATGTTGTTATTATAAGTTTCCTCAGTAAAAAAGTAGCATAAAGTGTGGTTTTAAGTCAAAAACCCCCATACATAGCTGACTCTTTTTAAGCCACTTCAATTTTAAATAACTTCTAGCTTTTTCCATGTTTATCATCAAAATTCTATTTACGTATTCAAAATTTTTTTGCAAAGTGGTACCTAATATCCATTACCATCTATTTACAGCAGGAAAAATCTTTTGTACAGATTTTATCTTGTCAAGAACTAAATGATAAAAGGAATAAAACTTGCTCCTAAACATCTGTTCTAAATAGTCCAGGTAGAGTCCAGGTAAATAGTCCAGGTAGAGTCTCTGCAGTTAGAAAATACAAGAACAACTTTCAGGAAAAAAATCAGCTGTAGAGAGTTGTAAAGGTACAACACTAAGTCAGTTACCTCTGTGCTGTGCATCACGTTTCCCAGTCTGGGTGAACCACTGCCTTAAATAAACTTTGGTATGAGTAATAGCCCAAGGGTCAGAGTTTGCTGTTATCGACTTGATTTTGGCACAACAGTGCCATAGGCTCCATCTCAATTCTCTTTTAATTTAAAAAGCATGTCAGATGAGCAACTGCTTTTTAAAGATGCATTTCTTCTGTATTCATCCATTACAGCCAGGATCAAAGTGAAACAAAACTATGTGTGTGTATGGAGGAGAAAGAATAGGTTAAAAAAAGTAAAAAACTAAGTTACCTTTTGAACTATTGAAAACACTGCTTTTCCCTCTTGCAAAATGCCACACACGCCTGCACCACATGACCTCCTATCCCTGTGTTGTCCTGTTCTTTTGGGGATCCTACAAAGCATACTCAGTAGCTTCTTATTTTTCATTCAGCTTTTGATCCTTGTGATATGCATTGTCTTGATTGTTTTCTTTTTTTTTTTTCCTTATCCCTATGGAAAGACCAGTTTGGCTTGAAAGTTTGCAGTGAGTGCCAATGGCTGACTGCAGCTGCAGGGTGCACTGGTTTGCCAATGGCCATTCTGGAGAAGGAGATGCAGATGTAATTTCTCTGTTGGATGGGAGTCTCCTCCTGGTTTCTCCTGACCAGGCTATTGCAAATTCTGGTGTTGCCTAACTGCAAGTATAGAGTTAGGGCATTGCAACCCTGTTACACCTGGCATTTGCAGCATCTCCGAGTCTCATTCACAGAAGCATTAATAATTACTGGTTTCAACTGAAACTGTTTTGAGAATGCAAACTCAATACAAGTACTCTAAAGAAAATGGTCACTGGAAGAACTTGCACTAGAAAGCTTTGTTTGAGGACTAACTAAATGCTATAAGCTCACAGCCATAGGGCAAGGAGTAACCTGCATCTCAAACTGCTGCTGAAGCAGGGAGCTCTGTCCTATGCACATGTGGTCATGAAGTTAAAGCTTGAATCAGAAAGGGCAGACTCAAGGTGAAGAGCTCACCACTGTGCTTCCTGGGACCTTAATTCCTGTATTCCTTAAATTTTGTGTACTTGACCCTGTAAATGCATCCTGTGTGTGCGAATGCCTGCTCTAACTCTGAAAGGAGCAGCAGGAAGGGGCCAGCTCTGTTGGGTGCAGTGCTGAACAGAGGAAGGTGTGTGCTTTGAAAGGGCCTGCAGAAGTTATGACCTAGAACAAAATTGTCTCTAGACAACTGGAAAACACAAAGGAGTGGCAAGGAACATCTATCTACAGCCAAGTTATTCTTGAGCATCCATGTGAATCTATTTTTGAGTTGTGCAGGTGTATTCTTGCTCATTTTTGTCTGTTACTGATCAGATGAGGAGTGCATATAGCTCTAAATTTATAAATAGATAAACAAACAAACAAATAAATAAATAAATCTTGCTCATACTTCACTCTCCAGGGTAAAACATTTTCCTCTTGTTGCCTGGAAAATTTGATCTCTTTATACCAAATTCAATCCTGACAAGCTTCTACATTTCTGAAATCGTAAGTTTCCTGTTGGAAACTATGCAATGTGTGATTGCAGAGGTATTAATTCAGCTGTTGTTGTGTCACTGATCCCAATCCTGAAGCAGACTTCAAACCCCAGTGTCCCTTGAAAAATGAGGAAATGAGTTTAAAAAAAGTTCCTGGCTCTTACCATGGAGAACAGATTTTTTTTTTTTTTTTCATTTTACAGCCTTTACTACCTGGCACTGTATTGCTTTTAGCATGCAGTAGCCATACACTTTATATAGTTCAGAATGCCAAGGCAGGAGTATCACAAACTATGAGAATTTAATTAGAAATACAATGGTGCAGCATTTTATTAAAGGTAATGCTTGGCAATAAAAACTCAAGCTGTTCTGTAGTACCAACTAATTTTCAATAAAGATTAGAGAACAGACTGTATTTTTTCTCTCTCTTGTAGAGCAATTCTCATTAACCTGTTTCTTTCTATTTTATGGCAGAAATTCTTTGACCTTGAGGAAGAGAGTGCCTGCTTTCTTAAAGAACAGAAGAACACTTCCCTTCCCAAACTGAATCGTAACAAATACATGGTGACTGATGGAGCTGCATATATTGGTAAGTAACCACATCTCAAGAAATTCTAGTTTGTATCCAAAAGCCTGAAATAACAACCTTTTGTAGAGGAGCAATCTGCAGCTGATATGTTCTTTAAGTGAAGATAATAGTTCATTTCTTTGGGAACCTGAATGATAACTGAACTTTCTCATCTAAAACTCTTTTTTCCCCTCTAAATCAGTTTCTCGAGACCAGCATTCTGCTTTCAGTATCCTAAAACAGACTGAAAGCACAAATACAACACAATTTATGAAGCAGGTATAATTATTAGCATATTCTCTTGTTCTGCAATCCAATGAAGAAGGAGTGTTCTCCTTTCCCCATGTTATTACTAGAGCTATGGTCAATCCTGGCAAATACTGTACAGATGCTCTTCATCCTCATCATCCAAAGCCTTACTCCATTTATTATAATGGCATTTCAGACACCTTCCTAACACTAAGTACATATCTAACTGGTATTTTGGGTTAAAAGTGTATTTAACTAAAATTGCTGTGTGGCACCCCATAAAAGTTGTTGGTTTTTTTTTTTTTACTTTTAGCATAGGAAAAATTGTCCGTTGTGATGAGGTTCCAATTTACCATCCTTGATAACTTTAGAATTCTTAACATTTCCTGGTGAAGTAACAGCCCTGTTTGTCCAAAATACTGCATGTGTTTTAAGTGTATAATTTGAAATACTTACAGTTTTAGTGAAATAAAAAAAAAGTAGCTGAAGCACTTGATTTACCTGTTTTCCATTAGTCCAAATAACCTTTTTGCCCTGATATCCCCAGGATTCAAAGTGCTTACTTGTTACCTTAGATTTCCACAAAGATTGTAATAACTGGCATAAACCAGTAAAACCTATTTTTCTTTCCTCAAATAGTATCTGTTAACAGGTAAGTTGTAAAATATCTACTGGTTTGGAACTTTGAATTGTTTATACAGAAAAAAAAATCATTTTTAGCACTGAAAAGGCCAGTGAGGAAAGTAAATGGAATAATAATGTAATAGATGTAAAAAGAAGAGCAAATTAGTTTTGAATAAATAGAAGAATCTCTTTTCACTTCTGAAGACTTAGAGCTGTTAAAACTTCCAGAAACAATCTTCACTACGCATGGTATGTATTGGAGCTTTTTTTTCCTGCTGCTATTAAAAAAAAACTAACTTATTTCCATCTCTGCACTGGGGAAAATGGTAGTGCTTCATCCTGGATTGTCTTGAGGGAGATTGGTTTTTTATTTGGTTCTTTTTTTAATGTTAGAAACTCACTGTCTATTCCTGCCTTTGCTTGCAGGTAATTTTGATTGGGTAGGAAATGCTTTTACGCAGAATGCTGGAGCTGGCCTTGTTATCAACCAAGCAGACGCGGGGAACAGCACAAGCATCATTAAGCAACTCAAGGCTGTTTTTGAAAGGGACTGGTATTCACATTATGCCAAAAGTTTACAACCAACAAAAATCCCAAACTGCTTTAATCACAAACTCAATAAAGGAACTTCAAATAAGACTTCCATGAGCAATGTGAATTAGAAAGACTGTTTTACCATTTAGTATGGCAATGAAGAATTATGTTGGGGTGTAGCCTTCTTTCATATTTACAGACAAAAGACTTAAAGAAAAAGAAAAAAAAAAGAAGTTTGGTTTGGGGGGGTGTTTTTAGGAAAAAGCACACTTATATTAAATCTGTCTAACCTATATTCTCTATATGGATTATTTAAGACTCAAATTTGTTATTTCTGACACTGAATGTCATTTCCGCTTCCATGTAAATTTTAATGTTCCACATTTAAATTTATCAGCATGTGTCAATGTTTCTGTTTTAGGACTTTCCCCAATTGCCAACCTGGCTAGAGCAAACCTTGAGGCAAAATGAAGATTTGAGCTATGAAATGGCATTCTAAGATCAGTTATTATCAACATAGAGATAGATGGTAGGTTTACTGTAATAGAAAATGTAAAGGAATTAGCAAAGTTTCACCCATATAAATAATTCCCTTTGAATAACTACCCTGTCATAAAAATACTTACTGGTTTTGAGCGTTTACTTTGAGTATCACTATTCCATGTCTTCTAATTAGCCTTAAAATACATTGGAGTTACAGGATTGGTAATTCTTTAGTCTCCTAACAGTATGAGAAATTTTTGAGGGGTTGGGGTTGGCCTCATCAAGTTTGTCATATTCCCTAAAGCCTCTCAGATTTTTTATCAAAGTACTGTGGATTCCTTTCAACAGAATAGTTATTTCCAATTACATGCATTTCATCTAACAGTGAAAATCTCTGGGTTAATAGCTAAAACCTAGAACGGATTTTTATGTTTTTGTAATCTGAAGAAAATTTCTTCCCCAAGTTAAATATTTGTCACGTGTGAGTCAGCAGATATGTGATGACTCATTATTAAACCAATGCACATCTCAAAATCAAGTACTGCTTTTTAGAAAGGCCAAGGGTTATGCAAAATCATGCAATAATTGTTGTTAAATGATCATACAGTAATGATGTTGATTTTTACACCTGAAGAATTTGCTTTCCTAACTTCTACTTTAAAAAGAAATAAAAATTGTGAAGTGACATTTTTTTGTTAAAATGTCATCCATATAGTTAAATACACCTGCATGGACAGAAAGTGTTGCCTTCATTTAGACCACAGTTTTTGTTGGTGTCAAAAGTGTGCCTCTACAATCACAACTAAGTTGCACCAAGAAGCAACTGTTCTATAAAAGTGTGAATTTGCTCTTTGAAGAAATGCACACAAATGTTTGATGACAGATTTTTCTCCAGTCAGAGATGTAATAGCAGAGTTTCATAATAAAAATACTTCACTACTATGCCTCTGCTTCCATTGAAGAAACCCAGCCATGAAAGCAAACTGCATTCTGTGTTTTGTTAAACATTCACAGAACGTTTTCCAAAATGATGACTTTTCTTCTCATCTCCTGAAGGCACACTTCAAAAGCAGAGGGCAAAAAGAGAAAGAAACCCAACCACATTCCAATAAATAAATCTTACAAGGAAGTTAAAAATGCACCTTGACTTTCAAAACATAGCTTACACTTATAAGGTGAAAAAATTCAAATTTATTTCACATTGAGCACAGCTTAGGAAATTCTAATAAATTAACATATGCACAATTTCAAATTGTCAGCTAGAGATACCCCACAAGACTAATTATGACCCCAAAAGGCACACTTTTGACAAAGATTTTTTGTTTATTTTGCAATTGCAAAGATTTACATCATCTTACTGAAAATGACAAATCAAAAAAACTTTTAAGATTGTCAGCTTTTACAGAAAATATTTTGCACAACTCCAATAGTCAGTAACATTTTCTGATATTCAGATAAACACATGGCATGTATTAGTCTCTCACACACATAGAAAAGCATATAATCTGACATACTGATAAGAAAAAGGTTTTTTAAAAGAAAATGGTTTCCTGTATTGCTATGAGGAAAGGTCTTTGTGAGTAGAAATTTCTGGATTTTCTTCCTTCTATATTTAATTTAGAGTATGTATAGCATATATGGGAGAGAGATTCCCAGAACTTAACTTACTTGTTGGGGAATTTTTGTTTTGTTTAAGAAATGAGTATTAGTCCAGATTAATTACTGATGAAAATTTCAGCTGAGTTGTACCACCAACAACTTTAGTCTTGTGACTCAAAAACCCACAAAATGAACAAACAAAAAGCCCACCACATTTTTAAAAGCTGGTTGAGATAGTTGTACAGTTTCTGAGGTCCCTATGGATAGGTGACCTTAAAGTTTGAGATAAACTTAATACCATGACCTTACATAAAACACAAAATAATTCATGCAAACAAAAAAAAAAAAAAAAAAAAAAAAAAAAAACAAAAAAAAAACCACTGCCTGGAGTTGTTATATGTAGCACCTAATGGCAATAATATACAGTAATCAATCAGTGTAAGGGGTTTTTTTCCCCTCTTGCATTATGGATACTGCAAATGTATTAAGTTTTTTAAATGATATCTTGTATCTGGATCTGTATCTTGGATCTGAGTGGAACACAAATTTGTCAGATGACAAAGCTAAGTTGCTTACCAAGCAGGGTTTATTGATGAAATCAGACTGACCATTGATTGATTTGGTATAACAAATGAGTGGTAAAATAGTTTTACTGGACAGATCCTAGGAAAATGCAGATCATGAATACTAACAAGGTCTGCTGGTTTGCAAATATTTTCTTATTGGCTAGATAAACAGATTCTTGGTGCTTCAATGACCCCCTCAAAGAGCAGATACATAAAAGTATTTTTTTAAAGTGGTAGTATATTTTGGTTTTATGAATGGAAGAATTAGGGTGGTTTTGAACAACTTTCAACTCAAAATACTGGCCAGCCATCCTGTAAATGGAATGGCAGACTCAAATTCCATTTGGTATAAAGTATGGATCAATACTGTAATAACTGTTTAGAATGGCATCAGCTCCAAAGTAGTTCATAAGGCCTTGACCTATTACATTAGCCAAAAGACAAAGTGCATCCCTGAACTTCAGCAAATAGGAAATTTAAAATACCAGATTATTTTTTGAAACCGTATAAGGGGATTATCGCCAATTCTTTGGCTTGGGCCAGTGCTGTTACTGTTTAACTAGATTTGCTAAAGCAGCCTCAGTTTTGGCTTCAGATCCTTCTACCACTGTAATAAATCAGAAGCAAATCCATTACAGTGATTTCACACTAGTTTAGCAGGGATCACAATCTAAACCAGTTTCCTCTTGCTTCCAATCTCCTGAGTATCACCACTGCACAGGCTGTTTCCTAATGTAACAGGGATTTGCATTCAGGGGTTTCTTACAGACCTCACAGGCATAACCCAAAAGATGCACTTTCTCTAGGCCCTTCTAACTGGCATTGGTAACTCTGTAATATTAAAGGCAATTTCCTAAACAGAACGGTTTTATTCTTAAAGAATATAGACTGTAATTGTTGTTTGCTGCAAACATTTACTAGTGCCTTATTCATACAAGTTTTTGTTTAACTGTTCCTCACATGAAGTCCTGCTAAAGATCCTGTACCTAGTGCTGAGGCATAGAGCAAACTTCCTAAGTAAGAAGACATTGTGATGTTTACAGTTTAGCACCTAAAACTAGAGTCACAAAAAGACAAAAAGTGACTGCAAGATGTTGGTCCAAACCACAAGCACATCTAAACTGGAGCGTTTTTATCCAATCCCAGTTCAAGAACTAAATTTCACAATTTACTCCTGGCTTCTTTATCCAATAATCTACAACACAGTTGAATTATTCTGTCCTGCCAAGGTATAAAATCTGAATTCCCCCAACATCTGGCTGCTATCAATACCATACTCACAGAAATTTCTGTAAGCACAGGTTGAAGCCCAAATATCACACAGTGGCTACTTTCCAGATCTTGCACGTTAAGTCTCAAGCTGTTTTGGGCCAGCTACTTTTTCTGCCTGAAGCATGAACTAGTATCCACAGCAACTCTCACCTCTTGTTTGAAGACCAGAAAGGCATGGATTGTGTGCTACAGCACAATGGCTGTAGCTGTACCCTAACAGGAAAATATTTCAACTTTATCCAGTGTAGGGCCAGGTATTCCTCCCAGTAAATCCAGGCTGTGCTGGTGGTTCAGAAGAGAGCTTGAGAAACAAGTAGAAAGGCCTCCAAATGCTATTTTTAACACCTACCCATTATTTGCTATACTACCAGCTGCCTAAATTCTACTACTTTGTTGATATTTGCACACATAAAAACTGAGCAAATAAGTTCTGTTATCTGCCAGTTAACCCTAATCTAATAAAAAAATGCAGAAAATTTATAGGGGTTTTTTGTGACTTTAGCATGTACTTACTGGAAAGAGTGATGAGAGTGCACTCTCATCGAGATGGTAAAGACATCAGCTGGCTCTTTCAGTTCTTCAGTCTGAAGTTCTAAATATCCCTGTCTCAGATGATTATACACTTGACTCCTGAGAATGACCTCATAGAGTACACTAAGTTATCTTCAAACCTTTCTGGTCTTCAAAATTAACTCATCATTTTAATACAAATATACTGACTAAATGTTTAGTATGTTTCCAGATGGTACTTTCTGGTGCTGTGTTTTTCTTCCACTCTTACCCTTTCTCTCTCTACAGCTATCATACATTCATGGTTTTTCAGTCATCATTATTCCAATGCAATCTATGTAAAGAAACCAGAATGAATCCTTGGTGTGTTTAAAATTCACAATGATGCCTCCCGAGTTAAAGGTACCACTTCTGACACTGCTCCACTTCTAACACTGCAAGGTATAGCAGCTCAACTGATGCTGTAGGATATTGCTTTTCTTAGCTGTAGTTTTTCACTTTAATTACTGCTGGATGTTATTTATGAATTTCTCAGTATTGAATCAGGTTGCTCTTGGATCATCACTTTGCACAAATGCCTTAGAAGCTTGCCAAACTAGCATGTAAAAGAGACCTCATTCAAAATAGTTTAGACAAGAAAAGAACTCACGTGCTTTACACTCTTAAGGGTGCTGAAGTCAATGGATAAACTCTGGTCCTATAATAAAGTGGAACTTTCTATTGTACCTTCAGTTTAGATTAATTCTGCATGGGCTTCCTGGAAAGTCTGTGAGAATTGTTTGTTTGAA